GGCGGCTGGCTCGTCCTCGAGCGCTGGATGACCTCGTACGCTGAACTTTGGAAGAAGGTGCCGGAGAGCATCAAAGAACATGGTGAGCACGCGGCGATGGCCGCCGTCGGGCGGGCGACGGCGGATCCGCTCATCAAGATGCACCGCGACGAGTGGATCACGGAAGACGACATCAAGGAGATTGCGTCCTTTGGCATGAACATGGTCCGCGTGCCCGTGGGCTGGTGGATCTACGAAAAGCCGGAGGTAATACCATCTACTTGTTGACTGCAAGAGTTGATCATCACAAATGTAGGAGACGGACTGGCAGCACTTTACGCCTGGCGGCCTCGAGTACCTCGATCGACTCATGAACGAGTGGGCCATCAAGTACAACGTCGCTGTGCTGCTGGACATCCACGCCGCCAAGGGCTCGCAGAATGGCCGCGAGCACAGCGCTGCACCCGTGTCTGGCGCGACCAACTTTACCGACTACGCGGTGAACGTCGACCGCACGATCGAGGTATGGGATATCACATCAACTTCAACCTAAAACCTGAAACCGTCAAATGTGACAGACGGGGCTCTTTCTTGTGGACCGGTACAAGCACGAGCCGGCGTTTCTCGGTCTTCAGCTGCTCAACGAGCCCGAGTGGTGGCAAGACAAGAGCCAAGGCACGGACCGCACGAAGCTCAGGCAGTTTTACAAAGACTTGTACGCGACGACGCGGGCGCTCTGCGGCGACTGCGTCGTGGTCATCTCGCCGTTTTTGTCCGAGCAAGACAGCTCCCATGGCGAGTGGGGCACGCTCTTTCCCGATACCAGTCCCGTCAACAACTGGATCGATTGGCACAAGTATCTGAAATGGGGTTTTGAAGGCCAGAACATGGACCAGATCACCTCGAGCGGCGTCGACAACATTGAGAAGGACCTCCAGGCGTGGCGTGGCAACAACCGCGTCTTTATGGGCGAGTGGAGCCTCGGGCACCCCGACTCTGCCCACGCGCAGTTCCAGGACGACGCCAAAGTCGCTCTTCTTGGCCAGCGCCTCCTCAACGCGCTCGACGCGGCCAAGGCGGGCTGGACGTTTTGGAGCTGGAAGGCCGACTATGGCACGCGGTACGGCGACGGCTGGAACATGCGGTCGCTTCTCCGCGACAAGCTCTTGAAGCTCTAGCTTCTCGCGCGCGATCTGGCAGTAATCGCAAGGACAAATAAACGTTGAAGCCACTGTACATGTTGTTTATAGAAGACGAGGCAGAATATGGTGGTGTTGACGATGCCAACAAGAGCGCATTCTATCGGGAGTTAGACGCGACCCGCCAAGGCTCCATCATGTAGTACGTCAGACCAATCAACTCTTCCTACCCTCGTATCCACCGTACCCGCTGTGGCTTCGCAGCGGCGCCTGCACGGCGAGCGTACACACATCGACGAGTCCGACGACTGTCGCGGCCGCAAATCGCTGCAACGCCGGTTGGGCTGGCCACACCTCGGCCGCGTCCGGGAGGTCGCCGACTGTCGATGCGAGCGCCACCTCGGCTTTGGCAAACACGCGGCTCAGCGTCGACATTTTCACAAAAAAGTGCTCGCAGAGACGCGGCATGTTGAACGCGTTCGTGTACGTGGCGAGCACGATGGCGAGCGCAGCGTGCTTGGGCAAGCTTGTCGGCCGCCCGCGCAAACCAACCCCTGGGTACAGTAACCGTTAGTAGAAATGACAGTACCACGAGTCCTGACCAGTCGGCCGTGTCAAGATGCAGATGGCACTTCGACCTTTTGTCCAGTCTGTGGATTCTTGCGTCACACGCAGGAGGTGCGGGGTTCGAGCCCCATAGGTGCTGTCCCTTTCTTTCCTTTCCCATTGGCGTTGGCATCGGTACCATCAAGCCACATCTTGTCAGGTCGCGCGGTGCCTTTACATGGCAGTTGTGTAATGCCGCAGGGGGTCCTCCGTACAGGGGTCAGACTGGCGAGATGCTTGTCGTCTACGTGGCACCCCAGGTTGCACTGATATCCGCGTCGAGGGTTGCGCGTTCTCATACTGCATCAACTCGTGCTTGTCTCGAGGAAACTAAGCACCACAGTCTGCTCTAAGCGACGCACAGGCAACGTATTTAGCACGCAGTCGCACACTTGGATTCAACACAGAAATCTTAACGGCAGACTTCGATGAGGTCGCGGAGCTTGCCGCCGTCACGGAGGCTCTGGAGGGCAGCCGCGCCGCCGACAAAGGTCGAATTGATCCAGACGCTGGGCACCGTGTTGAGACCGGAGAGGCCCACGATCGCGTTGTAGACGTCTGTGCCCGACGGGTGCCCCGCGCTCGTGTCGACGTGGACAACGTCGGTGGTCTTGGCGCCTGCACTGCGCAGCGTCGTGACCGCCGCGTCGCAGAGCGGGCAGTTGGCAACGCGAAACACCGTGCACTTGGCCGTGATCTTGCGCACGTAGGCGGCCATCACGTCGGTCGGCGCTCGCAGAAACGG